AGAGAAGTGCTACTGGACATGTGATTATACTGGAAGCTTCATTTGTATTTTGTAATTTTGTATTTCTCTTCCTAGCCCAGTGGCTATACTTTGGAACAACTGATCTCTGGTCTTTATTGCATATTTTGGATATGTATGATTGCCTATATTTTTATATATCAGCCTATATGTTCTATGTGTATTAGACCTCTGAGAAGGCCTGTAAAGGCCGAAACGCGTTAGGTCTACTTCATTAGCCCTTGTACGTTTTTATATATATATTTGTTTATGAGGTATGAATGGGCCCTTCTTTGTTATTTTAATTTGTGTGTAATAAATACATGTATATTTTTGTATGATTTTTAGAGTTGGCCCTCTTCTAACCTGGTATTTCTGGCCATTGTGTGACACAGAGTGTTGGACTGGATGGGCCTTTGGCCTGATCCAACATTGGCGTCTCTTATGTTCTTATGTGAGCTCCCCTTCGCTGGCAGCTTTCAAGAAGAAGCTGGAGGAATATTTGTCAGAGATGCTCTAGGTGGGTCCTGCATTGGGCAGGGGGCTGGGCTAGATGGTCTGTGTGGCCCCTTCCAACTCTAGGATTCTATGAAGCGCCAGAGGTCTCCTACGGGCCCCAAGCTCTCAGTCCCGCCTGACACCGCTCTTTGCCAGACTAGCGCAGACCACAAGAGCCCTCGGAAAGGGGGCTCCCCCCCCACATATTTCAGCCCACTCTTTGCCGGGGAAATCCGGCCTTCAGGCCACCCCAGTGGGACCCCATAGAGAGCTGGATGCACGGCGGAGCTCGACATCAGGAAACAGGAAGAAGAAGGCGCTCACTTACGGATCCAGGTCGAAGTAGAGTCTTTGGTTGGTGGCCACCGTCCGGGACACGGAGAAGAGGGCCTCGCTGGGCTGGCGGAGGTCCCAGCAGAGGATCTCGGAGTCCTGGGGGGAGGGGGGAGACACACGAGACTCAGTCCTGACCCCAAACGTCCTACCCGACTTCAGTGAATGGGAGGAGGGCCGACACGGTACTATTTCATTTATTTAAAGTATTTACGTAGCTGCCTTTCTCCCCGGCAGAACTCAAGGCGCCTGACCATGCAAATAGAAGTATTATTAAAAAATACAAAAATAGAGGATTAAACAGCAATCATAAAGAACATGTAGAAGGTCGTGATTTAAAAACACCTATCAGGATCGCCGGTAAATAAAAACTAAATCCGTCGAATGCAGTCCTCAATAAAACCATCTTCAACTGCCTCCTAAAGGTCCAAAGTGAGGGGGCCGGGCAGATCTCCTTGGGCAGGTAGTTCCGTAACTGTGGGGGCCGCCATCGAAAAGGCCATCTCCTGTGTACCCAACCAGGGGGTAATCAGAGGCAAGGCAAAGCCCAACGCAGATACACCCATCGGCATGGACAAAGCCCCACCCAATGACCTGTCATTTCGTAGAAAGAGAGGTGCAGGAGCTCATTAGCATGATTTATTTGCATATGCCACACCCCCTGGCATCACTGGAAGTGTGTCAGGAGGCAACACCCACCGCTCAGGCTCCACTGGTTTGGATTGCTAGCTATTGGGGGGGGGACGTGCAGATCTGTCTATCGCAGAGGAGGGAGAGCTTGTACCTGAATAAAACTTGGTCTTAAAGGTGCCACTGGACTGTTTTGGACCGGGGGGCCGGGGGGGACCTCTGCAGCTTACCTGGCTGCTTCTTGCTCTGACTGAGGGCTGCTGGGAGCAGGGGGCGGGGCATGTTGCATGTGCCTGCCCCCTGGGCTCTTTACTGCCGGAGCTCCGCTCCTGTGCGCTCCTGCAGGAAATGACCCCTGCCTGTCACTCACCAGATCTAGGTCCTTCTCAGTGGCGGCTCCACACTGGCGGAACGAGCTCCCAGGGGACATTGGGCCCTGCGGGACCTCTTACAGTTCCCGCAGGGCCTGTAAAACGGGGCTCCTCCGCCAGGCCTTCAATTAGGAGCCGCCACTGACGAATGAGCTACTGAAAACACCTATTACTTGCACTTTATCAGGGATACTGGTCTAGTCATACTGGGCCATCTTACGACGATTGCCACCCGCATTTTGCTAATTGTACTTCACCTGCACTTTATATACTATTGTTGGAAGTTTACCTGTTTTTATCTGTCTTACTGTACTTTAATTATCGCACGCCGCCTTGAGCCTGCTTGTCGGGCAAGGCGGGATAGAAGTCGAAATAAATAAATAAAAACCCCGCCTCCAGCCACTCTAAGCCACGCCCACCAGCCTCCTCCTCCTCCCTCCCCTTCCCATGACAAACCCTCACCTTGCGGCCTCCCGTGTAGAGGCAGAAGCCTTCGGGGGAGAACAGGGCATGCGTGACCCCGCCCCGGTGCCCGTGCAGCAAGGCCAGGGGGTCCCCCTCTGCCCGGGAGTAGAGGCCAACCGTCTTCGAGTAGGAGGTGCAGGCGTAGACCGGCTGGGTGGGGCTGAAGGCAATGCAGGAAATGATGCCGTTCTGCCCCTGCTTCTTCGCTGGGAAGCGGAGGGAGAGGGGGGGGCATTAGTCCATGTGGGCCCCTTCCTCCCAAACACCCCCTCATGCAGGGTGAGAGCCAGTCCAAATCAAAGCGAAACCAGACCCACTGAGGGATGGTGCAGGGCCTTCTCCGCAACAGCCCCGAGGGTATACAACTTCCTCCTGGAGGAGACACGTCCACCTCTTCTCTGGGTGCTTCTGGAAACCTGCATGCCCAACTATGTAATTATTTTTAGGAGGAGGAGGGCTGGTTTTATACCCCACCCTTCACTACCCAGAGGAGTCTCAGAGCAGTTAACCTTCCCTTCCTCTCCCCACAACGGACACCCTGTGAGGGAGGCGGGGCTGAGAGAGCTCCGAGAGAGTTGCTCTTGAGAGAACGGCTCAGAGAGAACTGTGACTGGCCTAGAGATGTGAAGGCCCGGGGGGAAAAAACAGGGTTTCCCCGTTTTTTTCCTGAAGCCTTTTTGCTTTTTTACAAAAAATTGGAAAAATTAAAAAAAAGAAAAGAAAAAAAATTGATTATGGAACATTTTATTTTAACATGCTGAATAAAATATTTTAAGACAAGGTGTTCAAATATTTTCCAAATCATTTCTAAATATATATATATGGTATCAGATTGATCTAATTTCTGTGCACTGAGGACAAGCAAGTCCTAGGTTACAAACTGAACTCTCCAATGCAAGAACTAAATGCCTTTCTTCCTTTAGGAGGTGTTATTGTCAGAAGAAAATAAAAAAGTTTCAGTTTTGTTTTTGCATGTGGGTGGGCATTCTGTTTGTAATAATTGTCTGGATATACTATATTTTTAATAGGCTAGTTGTGATCATTTCATGCCAAGTAAAAATGTCCATAGTCATATTTTATGTTCCTAAAGTAACAGAATGACTTTCAATCTAGAAAAGACAAAAGAAATGCTAATGTAGCATTTTTTTCAATTTTTCCGAAAATCCCCCCCCCCAAAAAAAACGGGGAAAAATTGGGGTTTTTTCCGAGCTTCAAAATTTCCGGAAATTTTACATCTCTAGGTGGAATCAGTTACTCGTGTCCTCCTGTTCTGCAGATTCTATCAATAGGAATGAGACCATCTTATACTACCTCCTGCTGCTCTTAACCGCGACGCCGGGCTGGTTCTCAGTGAGCGCTCTCCTTTCTGCTGCTTGAGGCGGTCAGGAAGGTTCCCGTTCGCCTGGCTTTCTGCAAACTGTGCAAAACGGAATTATTCTACTCGAGGAGGGCTTTTCTACACAGGCAATAGGGGTGCACTGTATCAAATGACTCACAGGTTCTCTTGGATACATTATTAAGTGTCGGCAGAGTAATTAACACAGCAAGGGTGCCTAACCTGATTAAAGAGTAGATAAAGGTTTATTTAGGAACTAATATACTTGATAAGGAAGAGGAGAGACAGAGACAGGTTCCTAGCTATAGCTATAGCTGAAAGAGAGAGAGAGACCCGAGTGTGGCACTTCCCAGAAGAAGGGAGAAACTGCCCTAAGAGTAGCAATCTGGAGACCAGACAAGGAATGCTGACCTCCCTGGCTTCTTGCTGCCCCCTGCAGGGTCTTCTTCTCGTCTTCTTCGTACACCACATATTGCCTTTTCTAACAATTAGGGACTTGCGGTCTGGACTATTGTGTTTAGCCTCCTGTAAGGGAAACCTCCATCCTAGAAGGCGTCTTTTCAGACATCCAAATTCTGTGCGGTTTCACTCCCAGCACAAGCATAGAGGCCTGCGAAAAGGAACGCTGGAGAGCCGGCATGGTGTCGAAGAGAAAGGGGTGGACTAGGACTTTGGCCGACCCAGGTTCAAATCCCAACTTCTGTCATGGAGGCTGGCCGGGTGACTGAGGGCCTGTCACAAACTCACGGCACAGCCTACCTCACAGGGCTGTCGTGGTTGTGAGAAAATGGAGGAGGGGGCACGGCATGTTCTGAAAGCCGCTCTGGAATACAACGGGGAAGAAAATCAGGGAGTCGATACATAGGAAGGCTCCAAGGAAGGAAGCCACGCCGCTCCCAGGAACGCCGCCGCCACCGCCTCTCTGAGGCTGACTCACCAAACGTGGGCCTGGTCTCGCACACCCGGCCCGGGCGGGACGTCTCGAACACACGCACGGTCTTGTTGAAGCCGCAGAAAAGCTGGGAGCCGTCCGGGGTGAAGCTCAGTGCGTGGGCGGGAGTCAGCTCATCCTGCAGGGAGGCCGAGGGTCAGGGCCTGGCACACGATGCAGGGCACCCGGGCAGAGAGGGCGGCCGCCAATGGGCCCGGGGGCACCGGAGCGGGGACTCACCAGGTGGTTGTAAGGCCGGAAGGTCGCCCGCAGGTCTCCGTGGAAAGCGTCCCAGATGTGAATGGGGTTATCCCGGCTACTGCTGGCGACGCTGCAGAGGGAGAGCGCGTGGTGAGGAAGAGCCAAGAGCTGTTTGGGTCCCAGAAGAGCTACCGGCTGAGGAGGAGAGCACCCCGCTGGTAGACCAGGGGTCCCCAATCCCGTTTTCACCAGAACTCGTATTCCTAGATATGTGGCATGACATAAATATCCCAAAGATCAGTCGTGAGTGACCTAATAACCAGTTGCGGCGAAGAGTGCAATTGCTCCCAAGTGGAAACCTCCCTCAGCGCCAACCAATGTTCCCTCTAAGCTGTGGAGTCTTGTGAGCAAAAATTCTACTTTGTGAGCTACCAGCATTAAAGTTGTGAGCGAGCAATTTGGCTCCTGCATAAATTAGTTTGCTCTGGAGCCATCCTCCCTGAGCGAAGACAAAAATGTGTGAGCCGGAGGCTAGAAAATGGTGAGCTGGCTCACACAAACTCAGCTTAGAGGGAACACTGGCGCCAAGACGTCCTTGTTGGCTCAGCAAGGTTTGGGATCATTTTACGGAAAGAATCCAACAATCGGAAACATACCCTAAGATATCCAATTTTATGGAAAAAAATTTCCCCTTTCTAGACCAGATTATAACAACTGGCTGCCAACCACACGATCCAATATATCTAACTATACTTCTCTATTAACATAAATTAAATGTCTCTGTCTGCATCCTGCAGCCAGCATGCCGCATACTCACAGATTACTTCATATCTAGTCGTAAGCACACTCACCGCTACTGTAAATTTACACCTGATTTACCGTACTACCACGGTATACTTCAACCTTCACATAAGACAACGTAGGTCTAGGTGTAATGTATGTAAAGTTATCTTACCTGTCTGTTTGCTCGCACTGATTTCTTTAACGTAATGTACCTTTTGTACTACTTGTTTTGAGCATAAAAGGTAAAGGTAAAGGTTTCCCTTGCTCAAAAGCCAGTCTAGTCCGACTCTAGGGTTGCGGTGCTCATCTCCGTTTCCAAGCCGAAGAGCCAGCGCTGTCCGAAGACGATTCCGTGGTCATGTGGCCGGCGTGACTAAACACCAAGGCGCACGGAACACTGTTCCCTTCCCACCAAAGTGGTACCTTTTTATCTACTTGCAATTTCTTGCTTTCGAACTGCTAGGTTGGCAGGAGCTGGAACTAGAGACGGGAGCCTCACTCCGTCATGCGGCACCCAGGTCTCGAACTGCTGAACTACCGACCTTCCACAGCCTGCAGTTCAGCGTCTTAACCACTTGAGCCACCGCAGCTCCTGTTTTGAGCATAAGCAACTGCATAATTGTTCGATATTGTATTATTTGAAAAACGAATAAAATTTAAATGATTCTTTTTTAAAAAGTGGGTGGGGCCAGGGGGAGGGCTTTGTCCAGCGAGGCTTCTGATTGGCCGCTGGAGATGCTGTTTCGGCAGGAGCTGCCACCACAGACTGAAGGCCACACGGGGCAGCCCTTTTGTGGCTGCAGGGCTGCCACTCAAATTTTATTTTTCATTTCCCTGACTTTCCCTGACCAACATTTGCCAATTTCCCTGACCACCATTCAAATATAACCAGGAGTTAAAAAATTAATAGTATTGCATTCATGCAAGGTCAGGTTCCACTCTACAACTACACAAGTCTCAACTGCAAAAATATTTGTCAAGGAGATTTAATATCAGCTTCTTTCAACATTAACTGCAGCAGCACATCTGTTTTGCAATTGCACCAAAATTACACCTAGATACAAGTTTCCATTCAAGTAAACTCTGAATGCTAACATTCACATTAAAGGTACACTAAACATTATATCAAGGAGCTGCGGTGGCTCAAGTGGTTAAGACGCTGAACTGCAGGCTGTGGAAGGTCGGTAGTTCAGCAGTTCGAGACCCGAGTGTGCCGCATGACGGAGTGAGCTCCCGTCTCTAGTTCCAGCTCCTACCAACCTAGCAGTTCGAAAGCAAGAAATTGCAAGTTGATAAATAGGTGCCGCTTCGGTGGGAAGGGAACAGCGTTCCGTGCGCCTTGGTGTTTAGTCACGCCGGCCACATGACCACGGAAACGTCTTCGGACAGCGCTGGCTCTTCAGCTTGGAAACGGAGACGAGCACTGCACCCCTAGAGTCGGATTTGACTGGCTTTCGAGCAAGGGAACCTTTACCTTTTTAAACATTATATCAACGTTCTATCTAAAATGGTTGAGAAAGGGCATCATTAAGTTCTACTTGTATTATGCCGCTTCTCTATTCCAGTTGCCAAAAGAACAGATCTTGCTCTTGCAGCAGCAGGTCAAAAATCCACAGCTTGAATATATTTTGATCACAATCTCCCTGACTTCCCCTGACTTCAGACCAATTTCCCTGACTTTCTCTGACCAATTTTCATTTCCCTGACTTTCCAGAAAGTGGCTCCATGGCTCTCTCTCTCTCTCCCTCTCGGCAAACATCTCGGCCGGGGGCCTTTTTGTCCCACAGTCAACCCAGTGTGTCACAGATGCCTGATCCAGCACGGTACCAGAGAATGGGCACTTTTGTATTTTAACGAAAGCAAGTTCCTAGTCCTCATGACTGTGCAGATAACCTAGAAGATGGAGGAGGAGGAGATTGGATCATGCCTGCGCCCATCGTGCTGTGTCAGATTTCGCAAGGTGGACACAGGCTCAAAAAGGTTGAGGACCCCGGATTAGACCATGGCTCTCTCTCTCTCCTTCTCGGCAAATATCTCGGCCGGGGGCCTTTTCGTCCCACAGTCAACCCAGTGTGTCACAGATGCCCGATCCAGCACGGTACCAGAGAACGGGCATTTTGTATTTTAACAAAAGCAAGTTCCTAGCCCTCATGACTGTGCAGATAACCAAGAAGGTGGAGGAGGAGGAGATTGGATTTATACCCCGCCCTTCACTACCCAAAGGAGTCTCAGAGCGGCTTACAAACTCCTTTCCCTTCCCGTCCCCACGACAGACAAGCCTGTGAGGTAGGTGGGGCTGAGAGAGCTCTGACGGAAACGGCTCTTGAGAGAACAGCTCTGAGAGAACTTGTGACGGACCCATGGTCACACCAGCAGCTGCATGTGGAGGAGTGGGGAATCAAACCCGGTTCTCCCAGATTAGAGTCCACGCATTTAACCACTACACCAAACTGGCACATCATGGGCCAACGCAGGGCCCGAACAAGATATACAGTTGCCCGGGCTTCAAAAACCTGCACAGCCCAGCCCTCCCCTTGGCCCAAGAGCAGCAGAACTGAGCCACACTGACTGGCAAGTTCTCTCACCACCAGATTCTTTACAGGTTGAGCACACACACACACACACACACAAGACACCCAAGTGCTGCAATCTTCACCCCCATGGCATGAAACCCAGGTGGCTGCCCCCAGTCTAAGAAGGGGCTTATGTGCCAGCCACCATAACACACACCCCCACGGGTCCTTCTCCAGACTACCCGCTTCAGTTATTAACTTCTACACATTTATCTGTAAGTCTAACGGAAGCTGCCTCCCCTCCGCCTCAGGCTACGGCTAGAGATGTGAAGACCCGGAAATTTTTTCCCCCATTTTTCCGAATATTTTCGTTTTCCCCCAGAAAAAAAAATGGGAAAAAACCGGGGGGGTTTCCGAGCTTCAAAATTTCCGGAAATTTTACATCTCTAGCTACGGCTCAGCTCTTGCTCCGAGCCTCCTGCACTTGGGGGTGAACGGGAGGCATCCCGGGAGGGAGGCGGGGAAGGGGAAGAGAGATTTACAAACAAGTCTGCGGGTCGGCGGAGCTCATGAGCGGGAACCAGCAGTAGTCGTAGACGGTGTCTCCTTCCACCATGCGCAGCACCGGACTCTGCAGAGGGAGAGAAGGGAGATCGGCTGCCTTCACACCTCAGCCTATGGGGGGTCTGTGACTCCTCTTGGGGATATCCCGGAGGGTGGCCTTGCAGGGGGCATGTGGCCCAAGACAAAACTCGGGTCTAATGAAGTCATGCGCAGCTATCCCAGAACTGTCCTCTCTGTCAAACCCTGCTACGCTTGTGCTTGCTTGGGTCGCAATAACTTTGGGGGGGCGGAGATTCCTGA